CTATGACAGGTCAACTTTAAGTTTGCCTTTCCTACCTCTGAGGCTTCATGGCTCCCATCATTAAGTTGCTAGGCTATGGGAAACACCTTTCACTATATCAGAAGTGGGTCAGGGCTAGTGTCCTTCTTAGATTTTGCCACCAGAAAGTTACCAGCAGAACACAGGCCATATGTTCTTTAAGCTCTGCTTAGTGACTCTCTTGCAACATAATTCCAGGAACAAATACTATTCCTACTTAGTGTGTTTCCATAACTAAAAAAACAATCAGTCACTGCCTTATTTGAGAAGTCTATTCTCTTTCAACCTTGGGGAAACTTTCTAAGGGCTTCTCTGGCTCTTCTTGGGAGCTGCACAGCACTTTGCCTGCTGTAGATGGTTAAACATTTGCTAGGTCAAATGATGAGGTCTGGGTTTGGTATTCTCTGAAATGGGTGAGATTTCTTCAGGAAATGTATATCAGCTTTTTGTCACTAGAAAAACTAAGACCAACTTACAAAGATTAAACTACATAAGACTGACTTATAAAGATGAAGGTTTGACTCTGGCTCAGTTTCAGGTTTTAGTCACGCTTGCTGAGCCCTGATGCTTTTGGACCTGTGGTAACACAACAGTCAGGAGCATGTGGTAGAGCAAAGCCACTCACCTTGTGGTCAAGAAGTGAAAAAGTAAAAAATTTAAGACCAGAGCCCCACAATCCCCTTCAATTATCTGAAGATCTCTCACGAGACTGCCTTTTAAAAGTTCCATACTTCTGAACAGTGACACCCTGGGGAACAGTCTTTTAGTTCATGGGCCTTTCTGCTATGTTCCAGACCCAAACTATGGCAGGGAGCTTACCTGTTACATCTGCTAAATCAGTATAGTGGGCCCGACAGGCAAGAGGGTGAAAGCCATTGTCAGATGCCAGCTCGTTCTTCCTGGCACATGCTGATCCTTCTCTGCTTGTCTGGTTGGAGTGACACTATGTGAGTTTGATTTTCTATGGGGGCTCCTATTTCTTTAGGACCATGGGACACTCCCGGGGCTTCATCCTCTCACTGCAGTCTACGTAAACCCCACCTTTGGTCCTGACCCTTCATCCTTGTTTGGGTGTTACCACTGGAGGGCCAGACAGAAGACTCCCCTTGGACACCAATCATCAAAGTATCATTAGAGCACAAAGAAGGAAAAATGAGAATAAGGCCCATAAATGACTAGATTCAACTTAGGATAACAAAGCACTGGGGATCTCAGGGAAAGTAATTTTACTAGAATCAAAACACACAAGCCAAGACAGTAGGACTCTTACAGCGATGCCCTTGAAGAGCTACAATTCTTTCTTTTACAAGCCTGCTACGTGACCATGAGTAAGTCATCCCTTCTCTGGGGTCCTTGTGTCACTAAGTCAGGGTTGGATTGGTTTCAATCTTCAATAATGCCCCCGCATGTCCTAGAGAACTTGGTAAGTATACACTCCCCCAGATATTCTAATGGAAGACAGGTAAAGCCAAGGAATCAGCACTTCTAAGAGGCTGCGAAGGCAAGGACGTTTCCTGGACCAGAGGCACCAGACTACATGGTCTTGAAGCCAGCTCACTCTGCTGCTGACCTTCCATGTGGGCCTGGGGGGAACAGAAAGTGACCAGGAAAAGCTGGCAGTCAGCCTGCTGTGTCCCAGAAATGTAGCCATTAAAAGCTGCCAGATGGCAGGGAGGGCTGTATTTGCTGTGTCACTCAAACAGCACCTATTGGACTGATCTGGATTTGGGGAAACGTCAGTGCTAAAATGGTAGGAAGGGACCCAAGTCCTTCCTCGGTTTCCTTTTCATGTCAAGTGAAGTGAATTATTCTTTTGTCCCAGATAACTCCCAACAACAATCACAAACTGGAAGTTTGTATGTAGCTCATTCTTAAAATTGTATTAGCTTCTAATATTTAAAAATTGGGAGATTTCATATTTTAAAACTCCAAATTTCTCTCTGAAAAACCTGAAAGTTAAGTCACTCTGTATTCATTTTTCTTAAACAGGAGTAGCTCCTGTGGGAATAGGCACTGAACATACATTTCCAGCCTCCACTGGCAGCAGCTGTCCTCTCTTATCCACCAGGGCCCTGAGAAGGGGGTTTGGCAGGAACCCCACTCTAAAATGTATTGGGATAAGTCAGAACAGCAGACAGCTGGACGTGCCCTACACCTGAAGACTGAGGAGTTGCCTCTGGGCCTTAGGTATTCACCTACTTAGACACTAAGAAATCGGTAGTGTATTTATAATGAAGTTGCTGCAGAGGCTATTGACCACTGCATTATGTGATTTTCTTCTGCGTGGAGGTATAACCCCACTCTAAAATGTATTGGGATAAGTCAGAACAGCAGATAGCTGGACGTGCCCTGCACCTGAAGACTGAGGAGTTGCCTCTGGGCCTTAGGTATTCACCTACTTAGACACTAAGAAATCGGTAGTGTATTTATAATGAAGTTGCTGCAGAGGCTATTGACCACTGCATTATGTGATTTTCTTCTGCGTGGAGGTACACTGGATAAAGGAATTTCTTTAAGTCTCCGGAAAGTACTGCTATATAGTTTTCAGTAGATAAATATCACCTACCTTGTGACCCAGTATATTTCACTAAGAGAAATGAAAAATATTTGCATTACAAGTTTGGAATGTAGCTCATTGAGACGGCACATACATGGCATGTACAAGATGCTGAGTTTGATCCTACACCACCAAGACAAACAAACACCCCACTTCTGTAAGATATAATGCAAATTCCTATCAAGAAAAATATGGAAAACCAAATTATGGTATATCTATATATATTACAGAATATTAGCTATTAAAAAACAAATTATATGTGTGTGGGAGAAATGCAGGGATTTGTGTGTTGGGGGGTGGATGTTATCAAACTAAAGGGGAGATCATGAGAGAGTTGGAACAGATCTTAAGAAAGTGAGGAAAAGAGAGTAATACAATACATTTGGCATGAAAGCAGAGGTCTGGGGACTATTTGGAAGAAGGAAAGGAACCAGCCAGAGTAGAAGAGGGGGCAAAAGCAAAGAAGGCAGTGGGGAGGGGGAAGTAATGAAACAAAGTTCATGACACATATGTATGGAGGTACTTTAGGGAAACACATTACTTATTACGTTAACCTAAAAAAATAATTTAAGAATAAAAAAAAAATAAAACCATGGAAAAGTCTCAAAAGACTGGTGAGGCAAAAAATATATATTAATTATAGGGCTAGAGAGATGGTTAAGCAGTTAAGAACACTAGCTGCTCTTGCAGAGGACCTGAGTTCAACTTCTAGCACCTACATGGCAGCTAACAACTTTATTTCCAGGGGTTTCGTCACCCTCTTCTGGCCTCTGAGGGCACTGCCAAGGCATGGGTGCACTTACATACATGCAGGCAAAACATTCATATAATATAAAAATAAATAAAACCCAATATACATAAAATTGCATTTATGTAAATTTCCAGAAATATAAAACTAATATATGGTACTAGGGATGAGAGTATTTCTGGGAGGAAGGCTGGACTAGAAGAGGGATTGAAGAAACTTTAAGGGACAGTACTAGATAGTCTATAGCTGTATTTGGCATATATCTGACAAACTCATTGATTTGTACATTTTACTTTGTATAAAATATTGATTTTTCTTATGAGGTCTATTTGCCTTTTTTCAAAAAACAAGATCTTGTTATGTGGCCCAGGCCAGGCTAGAACTCATGAACCTTCTGCCCCAGCCTCCTGAGTGCAGCAGGTATGTGCTCCCATGTGTGTGTAATGAACAGAAAAATCTTGGCATGGCAGCTGCAGTGTGTGCTGGTTAGAAATAGCACTTTAATGATAAAAGAGGGAGGATGGACCCTTCTCACTTGAGACACACTGTGCTTTCCCATTTCCCAGTGGTATCCCTGAGGAGACTGCTTAATCTCTGAAAAATGGTGCCCATACTAGTACGTACTTCAGAGTTGACATGAATAAGCATTAAACTTCTAGCAATTTCTAGTGTACAGTTTATTATCTTCCATAACCAAACAAGCCCTAAGCACAGGAGGCCATTCACCAAGAAAAAAGTGGACAATGGAGAAAGAGAACTCTATCTCTAACCCTTCTAGGATTTTCAGGTTTTGAAGATGCCCTTTACTGAGCCTGGCTTTGGCAACATGATCCAGGAAAGAATCTTCCTGCTCTCATTACCTACTACTAATTTAAAAAAAAAAAAAAAAAAGTCTACAAGCCACTGGACATGGAGAAAGCTTCACAGAACTGCTGGATTTTCCTGACACCTTTCCAAGGTACATTTGTATGTTGGTGCCAATGGTGGTTGGATCAGGCAGGGAAAGCACCTGCTCTCTAGTGAACTACAGAAACACACTCTAGGAGGTCAACTACATCTCCAGGAATCAGATTCAGCAGCTGGCAGGTTAGAGCATCTAGGGCCACGTTCTGGCCAGATGTTCAGGGGACCGCAGCCCTTGACCTAAACAAGCAGAGACCAAAGGTCTGGTCCCTACTTCAGACTCCATCACCCACTGAATGGGCAAGGCATTTTCCACATCTATAAACTAGAAGTGATATCTACCTTACTTAAAAGTTGTAAAGGGAGGACTGGAGAGATCACTCAGCAAGTTAAGAGCAGGCAGAGGACCTGGGTTCTGTTCCCAGCACCCATATGGCAGCTAGCTGACACTAACTCCAGTTCCAGGAAATCTGATGCTCTCTTCTGGCCTCTGTGGGCATTGTACCCACATAGTGTCCTTATATACATGCAGCCAAAACATTCATATATATAAAAATATAAATAAATAAAAACACACACACACGAGATGCATGTTTGGAGTTTTCTCTTAGACAGCATGAAAGCTGAACGCAAGATGCTTTCTGAGGTGGTCACTGAAATCCTATTAAATACTGTGGTCCTTTCCATAACACTGTGGGTAAGAAACAAGAGCTACCTAACTGAAAAGGATTTATTTCTTTTCTTTTCTTTTCCTTGGATCTTTTTGAGACAGGGTCTCCTGGTAGCCCCAGTAGGCCTGGAACTCACTAAGTAGACCTCAATCTACCTGTCTCTGCTAGGATTAAAGGAGTGCACTGCCATGCCTGGCTAAAAAATATTCCTTTATCTTTTGTCCAACTGTGGTTGAAGGTATTAGGAACATGGGATTAGTAACTCCTAAGGCAAAATTTTACTTATATAAACAGATCTCTACAGTTTTTATGGTCAAAAAATTCCAATAGCTCAAGAGTTATTATCTCTTCAGCAGAGGTACCCGGAAGGCTCCATTACCTCCCTCAGAGTGGCTGACTCTGGTGTCTCCTTAACTAGCCTGGCATCTTCTAACTTGTATTAATCCAGAACCTCAACACTCCACTTGGAGTAGAAATCTTAAGACTATCAATACACACACACACACACACACACACACATACACACACACACACACACACACACACATGACATAGTAAAACTTATTACTATTTCCTCCTTTATATTGCTACCAATAGCACAGATTTAAGCATGTTTGAAAATCTGAAGAAAGAAAACATTTTTGGCTTACATAAAGGATATATAAAAAAACATCTATTCAGAGAAACAAATATCTGATAATTACATTGCCAGCCCATCTTTAAGAATGCCAAAACACAAGAATAAGAAAATACCTGCAATACAAACGAGAAATCTAATGTTGTTAAAATAGATTATTAACAATTTTAGGTAACCAACCTGTGCCAATGAAATTTAAGTTAACGTTATAATCAGACAGTATGAGAGAAAATATTGTGCAGCTACTTAAAAGTATTCCTCAAACAAAATCTGCTTTGTGCTTAGAACAGAGCTGGGTTTATAAAGCTTCAACAGTAAATGGCAATAACAATTACAAAAATTCCCAACTTTTCTAATAACCGTTGTACAATAGCAAAGGGTAAATGAAAACATTACCATTTTTTAACAATGGATATCAAAACTGGAACTGTCAGTATGCTAAACACTATATAAAAACCATCAACATGGTAAGCTCCCTGGTTAATGTAATTACTTTTGATTTCTTAAACCCCAGAAAACAACTGCTTGCTGGTCAACAGATTTAAGCCATAAGCAAAAACCTGAACAGCCCGTCTTCATCCTATCTTAACAGTGTGAAGTGCTAGTAGTCTTAGTACTTAGTGCTCACAACATTTTGCAGCCTGACGATAAGCCATCTTGGGGAGGTATCACTGCCAAAGAAAATGCAAAGCAGCCAGAGAAACACAGGACCCCTGGCATGCCAAGAGTGCCAGCAGCAGACAGGCAGTGTCTTGTGCAAGAGACAGAGTATGTGCTTCAGAGTGCCCACAAGCAAACTAGGAAACAGCATGGAACCTTTGGCATAACACAAGGATGGGTTCCACTACTTCGTGCAGTACTCAACATGGACAAGCAGATCTCGGTGCTCAGCAGCTGGATACTGTACACTGCACTTGGGACACTCCACCAGGCTTTCATTCAGTGCAGCAGTGGGACTTTTTGGTGAGGTGACTTTTACTCTGTTTTCAGGCTCTCCCTGGTGAGTTTGCTCTGTGAGGGCAAACTCATGAAGCTGCTTCTGAAAAATAAATTTTAAATGAACACTATTTGTAGTCAGTAGTTTTAACAGCTTAAACATCTACATGCTTCAGCCCTGCAAACAGGTTTTCTTTTTGATCAATATTTGTATCAATAATGGTAATATATGAGGTAGCTACAGATCATCTAGATAACTTATTGTAATTTCTCAACTTGCTCAGGAAAGTAGTGGAGTTGGGTGCTCATATAGATGGGCTTTGCTGAGAGGCATGGAGTCAAATGTAAAATTTAGTGTGATTCACTAAATTTGCTGGGTTTTTCCTCTCATTATTCCTTAATTTAAAAAAAATTCACTGTACCAAATAATGGGTTTCATCACAACACTTTCAAGAGCATGTATAAATTTTCTAGTTTTGTAAAACAAGGCCACCTTAAGTAATAAAGAACTGCATAGATCCAGCCCTCGGGAGACTGAAGCAGGAAGATGGAGAATTCCAGACCAGCCTGGGTAGTTCCTGTCTCAAAAAACAACAGCAACATGGAACTAAAAGAGTAAACAATTTTATAGACCAGATGAGTTATGTATACAGATGACCAAAATATTCATAGTATCTCTGAGACTTGTCTTTTTCATGGTTTTTGAAGAATTTAGAATAGTCAAAGCTCAAAAGTGAGTATTTTGGGGCTGGAGAGATGGCTCAGCAGTTAAGAACACTGCTCTTGCAGAGGACCCGAGTTTGATTCCCAGCACCCACATAGTGGCTACAAACCATCCTTAACTTCAGTTCCAGGGGACTCTGAAGCCCTCTTCTGACATCCGTGGCATTGCATGACATGGGTGCACTCACATACACGCAGGCAATACACTCATACACATAAAATAGAGATAATAAATGATTTTTAAAAATTAATATTTTACAGCACATTATGAAGATATTTTTCTTTATATACAAGTTATGAATTACTTAATAATTGTTTTTTATCTCCCTTAGAAACTAGGAGTTATATTTATAGTGTTTCCCCGTGTCCAAATATTCTACAGTTACAGGATAATACATAAATGTGCACTACTAAAACACACACACACACACAAATTCACTAGTAACATGAAAAAAAAGCTCAGAAATCCATGGTTCCCTTTTCCCACCCTGCCCCCTCTAAGCCAAGAGCGCACCTCTAGAATCACAGCATTTGGTATGGGTGGGGGAATGATCCCTGACACCAGTAAGATAACTTTTATCAAGAGAATCATAACACCCCTCTTTCTGAGAATTGGTGTTTTATGATGAGTTGCCTCAAAGAAGGTAACTATTTATTTGAGATACAGCCAGCTGTTGTTTTAAATTTTTTTATTTAGTTATTTTTATTTCATGGGTATGAGTGTTTTGCCTGTAAGTGCACCTTTGTTGTACAGTGCCCAGGGAGGCTAGAAGAGGGCATGATCCCCTAGAACTGTAGTTAACGATGGTTGTTAGCTGCCATGTGGGTGCTGGCACCAAATCCAGGTCCTCTACAAGAGCAGTTAGTGCTCTTAATTGCTGAGCCATCTCTCTAGCCCCTGAGCTGTTTTTTTAAAGCTATATCCTAACTGGTCTGGAAAATGAGTTGAAACATAAGTGGAGAGGCAGCAGAAAGAGAATGAAGAATCAAAGTTTAATATTTAAAACTCACCAAGGATTCCAACTGTGTTATCTGACTTCTTGCTTTTCGGAGTTCCTTAAGAATCACGTGCAGTTGGTGCTGCATATTCTGACGATCAAGTTTTTCATTTTCAAAGTCTAAAGTGCATGCCTGCATCTGGAATATGCCCCGAAGAAGACAATTACAGCTGGCAGTTCTCCTGACTAGACGCTTACATTCTTTACCAGCACAAGAAAATGTTTGTTGTACCTTCATAGCAAAAAGTCTTCTGAGCACAGTGAGATGTTAGTAAATGAAGTTTATAGCTTGGTTCATGCACAAAGTAAAACCAAGGCCTGAGGGATGGGTCAGTGGAGAGCAGCTTAAGAAGCTGCTGGCTGGAATTATTCCTTTGTACTCTTGGACTTTTTGTGAAAAGGGGAGGGGGATTTCAGGAAGAAGGCAAAGAGATGGCTATTCCCTGGTTTGGAATACACTAAGACTCTCTGCCAGACATTCCAGAATAAGTGGTGTCAGTTCTGCCAGCTCCTGAGGTGGCCCTGATATGAGACTGTCAGGCCACAGTAGGAGCTACAGCTATGGAAGGGCAACATTTGCCAAGGTCAACATCTGTTAAGAAAACTGCCATCATCTCTTAAAGAATCAAGTTTAATCTAAGGACAGTTACAGAGTATGTAGGTAATTCAGTCTCTGAAGATAATTTTTGTTAGACTTTAAAAACATTTTTACAAATTTTAAGTACTTCGCCATAGAACAGTATACATAACTGGAAAATTTTCATTTTTTTACCAGGCTGAAAGAACTTTCAAGAGAGCACGGTAAGTACCTTTTGTTCCAACAGAGCTACCCTAGTCTGTTCCTCTTGGTGCTTTAACAGAGACCTGTAAAGAACCTGGACCTGTAGGATGCAAAGAGAGCCAACATTATCTCATTTGACCTCTCTTCACTAGACTTGGGACGCATGAGGAACTTACATCATAAATCTCATCTCTAACCAGGACAATGCTTGCTAAGTGAGCTGACTCATTCCAGCTGGCTATTTAAGGCTTTCTACATAAGCAGGCTGAGCAGTACTTCCCTAACTGAGAGTTCCCTGAGCCACGAGACTGAATGAGCACACACTCCGTAGTCCACACCACCTTTTCTGGAGGCTCTGAAGGATTCAGGGTGGGACAACAAAGAGCAAAGTGCCTTACCCAAGTTGAGCAAAATTCACTTATTTCTGCTTAACCTTTCCCAAATGTCACTACTCATACCTATAGATCAGTGTGAACACAGTGAAAACTCAGGAGGAAGACTACTGACTTCCCTTCCCCAGTTTTCAACTCTCAAGTCTTTATCCCAATCGCTTCACCCTGAGTCCCTGTTCAGCCTGGAAGAAGCCAGAGCAGTCTGTGTCCTGATTCCCCACCAGCAACTGGGTAACCCCTTCAGAGGATGGTGTGATAAGAATAGGAGGTAGGAATTGGCTAGAAAGTTAGGGCAAAAAGACCCCAAAAGTAGCCAGTTTCTTTGCTAAAAGTCAAAATGTCCTTGGGCCTCTTAGCAACATACTCTGTTCCAAAGGCCAAAAATGTCAAAAGTATTTGGGAGCTCTTATCTAATCCCTAAAAGATTTTAGGGTTACGTCTTCAGAGGGGAGAATGTTAGAGTAGCAAAAAGCCTCATTAATAAAAAAGAAAAAAGAGCACAGGAAGTTGTCAGGAAAAAGTCATGGGGAGATATGGGAGGAGTTGGAGGGGAGGGAGTGGGCATGGATTTGATCAAAACACCTTATATGCATGCATGAAATTCTCAATAAATTTTTTTAAGTTAAAAAAAAACTTTTGAAAAAAAA